GAGTGACAGTCTACTAACTATATCGGCAAATTTTGACTTGTTTTTTATCTTTGATTGCTGATCATTTTTGGTACTTAAAGTTTCTTTTTATCTATTATAATTTTTATCATATAACCCAAAACGAAAAAAAAAAATTGTAAAAATCGTCATTAAAGGGCGATAACTCCAATAAGGAGTAGTCGGAAAATTTCCTCCCCATTGTTTTCAATGTAGATCTTGTCTTGCTGATAATTTTTGCTTATTTAATTTCAATCTATCTATTATATTTTTTAGATACATTTGTATAAGGCAAAAACGCAAAAAAAAAATAAATACAAATCGTCATCAAAGGGCAATAACTCTAATTAGGAGTCAACTAACAATTTCAGATTTTGTCTTGCTGATCATTTTTGAAACTAAAAGTTTCTCTCTATCTTTTATAGTTTTCTAGATAAAATCCCTAAAAAAATGGTAAAATTTGTCATTTGAAGGCAATAACTCCTATAAGAAGTAGCCCGACAGTTTTGACGTCAATGAACAATTGGTACAGCTCAACATTTTGAACATTTTTGTCTTGTCAGATTTTCTCTATTTATGACAATTTTCAAAATAATAGACAAAACTTGCATTCTACCCCAGAAGTTCTATTTTTAGCCATGTCGGCCATCTTGGTTGGCGGGTGAGGTCATCGGACACATTTTTTAAACTAGATATCTCAATTAGTTTCAGAGGAGAGGATTTTTATAAAATTTAACGGACGACGACGACGGACGACGGACGCCAAGTGATGAGAAAAGCTTTTGCCATGTGAGCTAAAAATGAAAATAAATGTTAAGATATTACAGAGATAACCACTGACGAGGTTGCTGACATAGAATGACCAGCAATGAAAATTGGCAAAAGAAAGGACTTGATCTGCAATAAGAGTATAACAACAAAAACAACAAAACACATGTACAACCATATTAATAATAATCAACACAACACTACAGAATAGTCTACCCTCAGTTGTTAATTAAATCGCAAAGTACTTAACATGTCGATATGAACTCACGCAATCATCTGATACCTGCGATTGATTAGATTTCATACATCAACGGTCATTAACAGTAAAGGAAGACATACGCTCGTATATTTTGTTTGTCAACATTTTTTAAGAAAAGTCACCGAAAAAATCTGAGCCAAATTCTTAAAAGGTCTTAAAAAAACGCTTTAATTTCAAGTGAGAATTACATAAATCTTGGAGCATCAAATTTTCATACTTTACGAACCTGCAATTTAATGAGTGCGAAGAACTTGATAAAAGTTTAGTATAATATACAACGAAATACCTTTATTGCAGATGCAAAAAGACTGGATAGATTTTGATTAAAACATTTGTGACCAATACATCGACTATTCAACCTGCTATTCCGAACATCAATTTAGAAATTCCATTCCTAATTATGTTACTAAAGGAGAACAAAATTACAGACCTTATATTTAATCATGTGCATCTACATAGGCTAAATGAAGATATGTTTCTCATTACGTTTTAGAGCTATTAATAAGCATATATCGTGTAAAACATTTACAAGAAAACCAAAGATACGGAGGCTGAGACATGACATAAAGACAGATGTACATATTAATCATATTTATGTTTGATATGCCTACCAAAATAACCCCCCCAAAAAAACAGAAAAAACAATTGCACACAGGCTGAAACATCATGACTGGAAAATATGTTTTTTGTTATTGTCCATCAGCACAAATGCATATCATCAGATGTCTTTTCCTTTTCCATTTTTTTGTGGCCTTGTGTTGTTGTCTGGTTGCTTTGTTATTGAAGTACAGACTACTTGCGGGATTTTCATTTTACTTTGGGTACTGAGAGTTTGCATATTTTTTAGTAGATATATATTATTAGTATGATATCTACATGATCGATAGAATCTTGTTCTCAACCTTAAAGTTTTATGAGTGAAATAGAATTGAGAACAGTTCTATTCTATATTTGAAATGCAACTTTAGGGTACAAATTTTTATTTTACTCAGTTATTTTTTTAACCATATAATATAACAATTTCCTTTGAGGAGACAACAATACAAATCAATACTAAGAAAAGTCTGCATTTCAATTTTTATTGGTTATCTAATCCAAGATTTTTATATAAAGAAATCTTCATTACAAATGTGAAGAGGGTCCGACAAAAAATGTTAACTCTTTTTTTGCCACAACAATGGTATGATGGACGCAATTCTGGACTATAGCATGAAAAATCTACTGTGTAGCTAACAGATCACTTAGAACCAACTTTAAACACAATTATATTGATGATGCAACCGACCAATCATTGACGGGCGCAATTACTGTCAAAGCTAATCGATTATATTGTAGACGTAGAATTTTTTTGTAATCGATTAATAATGAATTACACTCAGTCTGATTTTTGTAAGTAATTGATTACAATCGATTTCTTAATCATATAACATTACTTTTGGATTACTGTCAATTGCTTGCTCCAAAATGATAAAAAAAAATATACAATCACGTGAGAAAGTTAAACACTTGAATGCGGTTCAACGTATTTACAATGGACATTTAGTACTTTGCAAAAGTATTGTTTCCAAATGCTAGGTTTTGAAACAGTTGTTTTATAGATGGAAGCTCAAACCAAGCAACCAAATTAATTAACAACATTCCTGACATATGGATTTTCAACAACAAAGAGTGGTGATTAAGAACCTGGAATGACTTTGACCATTTCACCAGTAACATCAATTTATTTGTGGTCATTTGCTCCATATTTTAAATAATTTGCTAGCGGAATGACTGAAGTTATTTTTTTACTCATTATGGACAGATATAATTGAATTTTTAGATAATCATGCTCATAACTGTAAAAAAAAAGTTTCTTTTAAAAATTCAAATATTGTTGAAAAATTTGTCTTACTAATTTGATAAATGACTACTTCAATTTTATTAAATGCATGGATTTATCTTTTTGTTTGGATTATCTCCTTAATGATAGACAATGAAGATGTCAATGGAGTAAAATATATATTCTCGGGCAATATAAATTAAATATTATACTTAATTAGACATAAATTAAATCAAAACAATGTCTGTATGTCATTCATTAAAAGTCTTTGATCGTTTGATTAGTGAAGCCAAGAAGGCAGTTGGAAATATTTCATTCTCCATGTAATTTTATAAACACTATTATATATTTTCAGTGTCAAAATGGGATACAAGTACATGTATCTATTACTGATCGAGAAATTCAATACACTGATGCATTGCCAAACTGATTTTGTATCTTTTCTTAATCCGTATATCATAACACTATGCTTTTGATTTTGCAATTTGATTAGGGACTTTCCGTTTTGGATTTTCCTAGGAGTTCAGTATTTTTGTGATTTAACTTCTTAAACAAATATTTATCTATTCCAAGCTAAAAGTCAAGCTTTTATTGATAACTATGCTTTAAGGAATTTTAATACAGTCAAGCCTTTTTTTTAATGTGCATATAAAAAAAGGCTTGAATGTACAGAACTTAACTTTGTCTTTTTTCCTATTTTCACATAAAAGGTCTTTAACTATGTCCAAGCATTGTAAGTCATTTGTTAAAAAAGCCTGAATACAGTAAAATTTGGCAGAAAACTTGTTGAAAATAAGGCGGCTTTCAGACAAAAACAAATCTGTATAAATCATTTGAAAAATACTCAAAATAAGTCATGTTTTTAAATTCTATATTATCTGCACCACAAACTGAAGGGTACATGCAGTTGACTATTTGCATATAAACTAGGTTCTATTTTATCAACCTTTTTTGCTTATAAAAGTTATCGAAAAGAAATCGATGATTCCATGGTATTTTTGGCTGTAATCAATCAAATTCCGATTTCATGTAAACAGAAAATTCGACGATTACAGATTACTGTCGATTACTTGGGAAAATGTAACCAATTACCATCGATTACGATTACAGATTACGACTTCCCCATCCCTGCGACCAATCAAAGTTACAAAAAATGTAGCGCATACAACAGAAAATATACATCAGGTATAGCTAGACTGGAATATGGTTTAATTGTTGTCCCTGTGAATTGTTTACTAGTTGTTTGAATATCGCATTCAATAAAAGTGGTGACATGTAACAGCAGTTGCAAAGGAGACAATGGAACAGCAGTCCAACTACGCGAACTACAGAAGTATATATATACTCATATACTCATGCAAGTGCACAGTCGGTAATAAGTCTTATTCATTGATTTCGCATTTGAGGAAAATAGGGCTTGATTGTGGTAACGACTACTGGAACATATCCGTCGCCATATTTTATAACGGTCAACTGAATCATGACGGCGTCTGTAAAATATTTGAAGGGGGACTTCAACTTAACCATTTGGAACCCTAAGTTTATACAGAGGTTATCTGAGACGAAGTTCTAACTGAGGACAGGTACATGAGCGTAATGTATTTTCATTCATTTATCCTTTCTCTTTTTGGGATCAAAGGTAACAAAGCAAACAAAGCCCAATAATAATCAGCACAAAAAAAAACAAAACAAAAAAATTCGTAGACTATAATTACAGTATAATAGACAAAACTTAAGTACAAAAAAAATAATAATACATATTGCCATTCAATAATATACCCACAGTTTCCGAATTCAATCTCAATGTTAACCTTCCGATATGAAGTCATGCCAACCAACACTCTAACCTCAACCTTCCGATATGTAGTCATGCCAACCTAAACTCTAAATATCGACAGTTGAGTAAACTGCAAATATTAAACAGAACATAAGCAGTGTTCATACACTATTGGATATTTTTCAACTAATTGTTATGATAATTCACTAAGACAAATTAAACCCGGAAAAGATAATTACAGTGAAAACCTGATAAAATTTCTTAAAGAATCTTTTTCAAACTCTTATGACTGTTTGACATCGATTTTGTATCCTTTATAAGTTTTCAAAAATAGTTTTGATAATTTGAAATGAAAGGTTTTTTTATTTTCTTCATTATAGTCGCTTTCCGGATGAGTGGATTTAAATTATATGTGACCAATACATCAACTATTCCACCAAACGGTTATCTCTGCTATGCAGATCCTTATCCTCCTTCTTTTCCCAGCATCACTCAGACTATATCGTGTAATCAACTTGGTAAATATGCCGTTTATTATGATAACCTAGGAGCTGATGAAGGAAGTGTGATCACCGAACCTATTGTTGAGTTGTGTTACGTTGCCATCAATGGTGAGTTTGTATAACGTATTATACACTGTAGTTAGTACCTTCAACTTATATATCATCTTGTTAATTTAAATTCATAAGCCCTATTTGACTGAAATTTTGATGTACTAGGTTTCGAAAATATTTTGACACGGATGTGGATGTATATGACGTAGCAACTTTACAACACAGCTAAACCAATATGTACCAAAAGCTATCAACTATCGTCTACAAATGTACAACTCAACATTGGAAAAGCAACAGACGGAAATTTTGAATTTAAAGGCAAGCTATAAACTATAGAACAAAAGGTTGTCAAAAACTATTGATTATGCAGGAAACGGATTTATGTCACTCTATGGTTTGTACATTCTCAAAATGACTGAATATTTGTTTTCTACTTTTAATAAATAAACTATTATAAATGATCATTTTTTTCTCAATGATTGATTTAAAGCTACTACATAACACCACAAGCCTGACTGACAAGGTTCCACCTAAGATTTCTTTAGTACATTTCATCATTGAATCGTTTTTCAACTAGTACCGTGACAACCTTGAAAAAGCTATATATCAAAATATAGTATGAGATAATCTATGCTCATCTGAATATCAGTTTGAGTCCTTTGACAGTTATAATTCATCTACTCAGAGACTAAACTTAACGGTTACCCAGTCGCACAAGGCGACCAGATTTTCGGATTGGTGAATATATTTTATCATCCTGATTGCCAAGCTAGTGACTGTAAACTATTTTGCAGTGAATCTCATTTCTTCCTCCCCCTCCCCCGATATAGACAAAGACTCTTCCCAAACAGAAACCTTGTTGCCTAATCACAGCAGGAAAATTAAAGAGAGAATTTCCAGAAACCAGTAGTTTCATTTAAATATCCAAAACCCGGTCGGAAAACTACATTTTCGATGCGAAGTCACGATTTGACATATACCCCTTCTCTAAACCCATGTTTTTATCTCTCTTTTAGATCTTCTACAATTATTTCATTATTGTTTTGTGTTTTCGACTTAATTGTGGAATTTGCACTGCATCAGAGATGCATTCCAGTTCTCCAGGGAGTCATTGCAAGCCCGGATTCGACGATTACTTGTCCACACCTCGCTATATTATCAAAATCATCAAAGAAAAAATTAAACGCAAAATTTAGTAAATAAATATAAAAATATATAGTTTGCTATCCAATCTTCAATGAAAAGAGAGTCATTGGTGGCTGAGTGGTGTAAGTGTATCACTAGCCTGCCAACACTGAGTTTGTGAATTCGAATCCCGCACGTGGCAGGTGAGCTCGACTCCAATCCTACTTGACTAGGATTGTTAGTTTTCCTACCGAAGGTCGGTGGTTCTCTCTGGTCACTCCAGCTTCCTCCACCAATAAAAACTGACCGCCACGAAATAGCTCAAAAGTGCTGAAAGTGGCGTTAAACACCAATCAATCTGTGAAAAGATGTATGTATGTATGTATATATGTATGTGATTGTAATTTCCTCCGTTATTCGGAGCACCCTCGAGAGCAAAATGTCATCAGGCAGTTCAAATCAAAGGGAGACAATTTTTGTAGGAAATGTACTTAAATCAGTATTTTCAAATCTTATGATAAATTCATGGTGGCAATAATTCAAATGTTATAAAGTTATCACTTTTTATCAAGTTTTACCAGACTCGAAAGCTACATACAGGATAACTTAAAAAAGTTTTATTATTATATGAAAAGTACATTTAAGTGTTTTCATTGGTATAATAATTAGTTCGGCCCTAAAATTTCAACTGGGCCCCTGAAAAGAATATTTTTAGGGCACAAGTTATTTTTAGTCCCTGCTACTCCGTAAACGTTTGGTCCTTTTTTTGTTGGTCTTAAACATTTTATCATGTTTTGAATTATTAAATATCTGACCTCGAACATCGCTATTACGTTAACGGTGTACAGTAAAGAAACACAGTGTATTGATAAAGTTAACTGTTGTTTAAACCTAAAACACCCATGCTTAATATTTGTAACAAAATCTGTAGATAAGTCGAAGTCATATTATCTGTTTACAGTGCAGATTTCCCTACCTGCCCGTTTACAAATGTTGTTAACATCAACTTTATCAGCAATCAAGGCCGGGGTTCAAAGTTATTTTGAAACATTCTACTCTAGCATGTCTTGAAACGGATTGAATCAGATGCGGATAGATAAAAAATCTAAAGATTTGTAAGAGTACATACAATCAAAGTCGCTTTCCTCTTGCAATCGTATCAAACCTTCTCTACCCTTTACACATGTATTTCAAATTTTAAACGAAAATACAAACTGATAGAAGTGGTCCTGCTTTGTTTCCTAGCAAAAAAGAATGGCCAACGTATAAACAAGTATCTTGGCTAAGGGAGGGATGAATCGTACTTTGACTTATATAGAAATTGATAGTGAGGGTCAGTTGAGAAAAAACGAAAAGACAAAAGAGGTGATTTCAGTTTCCCAATTGTTAACTTTCAATGTCTATGTAGCAACATTCTAGCAGCGCATGAATATGGAGTCTATATGATACGATATGACAGTTTTGCGGAAAAGCTTTTGGTATGTTTACATGTTCTGTCTATCGTATGTTTGACTTACACTTTTATCTCTTGTTTCTTTCTGATTTGTTATCGTTACGAACAAATAAATCGATATTTCTATTCAAATATAAGTAAAAGTATGACATAAAGATTGAGCGCATTTTATATGAGACATTAATAGAAAGCCTTATTTTGACTATTATATGTATAATTTTTAGGATGCATTAAAGGTGCATGGGGAACAAACTGTAAAGATGAATGTCCATTTAAATGTTTAAACCAAAATTGTTATCCTGGAAACGGCTCCTGTGTCTGGGGTTGTGATCCACAGAACTGTTTAAATAACACATGCGATAAACACACAGCGGCTTGTTCAGAAGGATGTGAAACTGGATGGATCGGCCAGTTTTGTAATAGGAGTAAGTCTTGTTTAAATATTTGTATTTTTTTTATAAAACAATTGTGTGGTATAACAACTATTATTTTCTCAGATATGCGAACTATAAAACACATACAATTACTAGGATTTATATTCAGTATGGTATATGTGATTAAACAACGGAAATTTGTTCTACTTAACAAATAAACAACCAATATATTTGCATATAGATTTGACATTATCAATCGGTATCATTCATACTATTTTCATTTTTTTTTATCTAGCTGTTCTTCGTACTTCACATACTAAAGTCTTATACTTTAAATTAGAATATGTAAATTTACCTTGATTTATTCCATTATCTTTTGTCAAAAGCGTATTTGCACTATTTGCTTTATTTGTTTGTTTATGCTTGTTTCTTATGATAATGCACACGCTAACTTACGATATGCGCGTATAAAATTTTGAGCTTTATGTGTGCATGTGTATTTATTCACAATTATGTGTTTTGCGTTGTGTATCGTGTGTTTATGTCCTGTGTGCGTTTAAGTCGTTGTTCTTTTCTCACCTTATTTTATATTGTTGTCTTGTACTCGACTCTTGATAAAGATTATTTTACTTTTCCATTATTACTTGTATGTCAATATTTGTAATCGATGACATAATTTTAAATGGATGTAAAGCAGATTTATCTGTAAAACGAAATATGATGGTTAAAATATCAGAGCTTAAAATAAAGGTTTAATTTGAGTTATATATACTTATATATATATATTAATAACAGAAAGTGCAGTCTATTATTAGTAATAATATGTATTTATAGTAGATACATTTGTATATTTATAACAAAAAGGCTTCATATTTTAAAGTAGATAATAGCATTAAATGAACTCTTAGTGTGAACCATGTTTGTAGCAACTTCTTACGTACACAGAAATCATTTCATTATTATGATAATGGCAGTTTTCCTTCTTTTTTTTTATTATTTTCATTATTTTTATTATAACATTTCTAAAATTGTATTGATCATCATTGTCCAAGATAACCTAGATTCAAATCGAACTGCAAGTTGAATGTATCCTGATGACGGAAAACTTGCAAGCTTGTAAACAATATTGGAAATGGGACATCCGGTTTTAATTCCAAAACAACTGTTTTACGAAGTGTATCATGTTTTACAACAGTTTTTGGAGGTAAGACAAAGTTAATCTATGATCCCGCTTGCTTTCATAGCAAATAATATTAAACAGTAGTGAAGCAATACCATATGGTTAATAATTATCGACGTTGAAAAAAGGATCGACAATGACCGAGGGTCAAGAAAAGAAGAGTCCAAAAAAAAAAATTGAAAACACTTATGTCTAAGTGACACTATCATAATAAACAGACAAAAATGAACTCAGATCGTCTACGAAAATAAACCTATAATGTCCAATAGGAGCACCAATCGTTGTACTCGTAACAAGATAAATTTCAGATTGATTGATTGTTGTTTGCTGAATTTCGTTATGCAAATTTTTATGAATATTCAGGACGAGAGCAATTTGTCAATAAATCAAATCGATAGGTTCTGCAAAATGGTTTAAGACAAAATTAGGATTACGACACGAAACGAGGGTATCAAGGATAGCGACAGTCTTTTTGTTTTGCAAGCAGGACCTTCGGACCAATAGAAGATTTTTTGTTAAGTTCTTTTATATGAATAGGGACTGGTATTCCCTCTGCACGAAACATGGGATTAAATGCCTTGTTGGGATCGGACATGTGTATTTATACATATCTACTGCCGTATTAGAATGTCAGGAGAAGAGAATATTCATATACCTCCGTCAACTTTTTGTGTATTATTGAAGGTAAGTGAGATTAGCTGATAAATTCTAAATAAACGTAAGATTCAAGAATATAAAATTGTTAATAAACTCGTCAGAGATAACCAAGGAAAGTTTGATGGGACATTGACTACTAACAATCTCACATATCCGTTGTAGTTTGTGACACAGATATATTGAATCGATCAGGAGTAAACATTAACGTAAGTTAAACGTTCTAAAGGTCAACTTCAACACAACTATGATCATATACAATGTATGCATCGATATTAAAATAAACTGTTCCATTTGTACCGTCATGGTCAAATCCTAGGTGTGAGTCAAGGTATGATGATCCCTTAATTCACATACGGCATATTCAAGGTTAATGGAACGAAGGCAATCAATTTATTCACCAAAAAATTCACCAAAAAATTTCGATTTAAGGACACAGTTTTTTTTTAAACAGTGTATACATTGTAAGAATATAAATCGACCATAGTATCTTCCGTACTACCTATTGCAAATCTCCTGTATTACGCCTCCTGATATGGATACAGGATTAAAGTCGAAACGATGGAAAGAAAAAAAATGATTCTAATGAAAAACGGAAAATACGCAGCTAGTTATCATTAATAATGACATTATCATAATACAGAGATGTGGTTTGATTGTCAAAAAGACACCACGATATACCATTTCTTTAACAATGAGCAAAACCCATACCATATAGTACGGTAAAAAGGTTCCAACATGACAAAATATAAAACTATTCAAACGAGAAAAACAAGTCCTTAATTTATGATAAAACAAAAAACAGGAAACAAATACAACAGCTGAAACGACTACTAGTACCACTACATAACAGGCTCCTGATTTGGGACAGACAAACATAGAATGTGTTGGAATAACACATGTTGCGAACGTTCATCCCTCCCCTTAATCTAAGACATTGTTTGATTCGATTGGTGCAATGTGGTCTTTAAAATCGTAAATTCCAATTACTGGTAAATTGAAACGTTGTTGTAATGCATGTTTTACAAGTTGCTTGTTTTATGAGATGATATCAATAATGAAAAATCTCTTTTCAACCACCGTTTTATAACTTACATTTAGTTAAAAGCTTTAGTCATCGTTTGGTGTCTGAGGTTTGTGTAAAATAAACAATAACAATAAGGTTGTTTTGTCAACATTTGGACAGCTATATAGAGGTACGTTTTTCAGATTTACAATGTCTTCTGTAATTAAGCTGACAACATAAAATATATTGGCTACAGTCCTTTTGCGCCTATTGCTATTTTTGAGATATATGAATTTAGCCAAATCTTATTTTTTTAAGGTATCCATTGCGCGAAAATTCTTTAAATTACACTGACAATTTTCCCATCTTAAGAGAGAAACTCATGTCTATAAGAAACACCGCACCATTGGTAATTGACAAAAAAAAACACTTTTAATGTACTGATGTATATAATGTATAATTCAAATAATGAATTAGGTGTTTACATGAATATTTCAGTATTTTTTTTTTTAATTTACCAAAGAATATTTTTGTTTTCACTTAAATCATCTTGATAAATAGAAAAACATTTGACAGTTTTATTCGTCATAGTCGTTAGGTAAAACTGTCATTAGTATACTGTTTTAATTATTGTTATTACAAAACTTATGTACAAAAGTAGTTATACACAAATGTAGCTAGTAGATAGATCACGAAATTCGGGAGGTAAATAAGAAGACAAAGTCTCATTTAATGATAATAACTGATTATATTAATCATTTGAGATGCATAATGATGGACATATATTCATTAGATAATAATTTGTTCTATTTAAACAATTCTTTTTATATTAGAGCAAACTGCATAACAGTAAGTACAGGAAAGCACAATTTTTAATAAGATAATGATAGTCCTATGGAACCATTAAATAAGTTATAACAACCCCTGTTTCATTTATGCTACACGAGTTTGGGCTTAATCAATTTGTAAACCTTACATGCTTTCTGAAGTTATGGATCTAGACCATGTTGAACCATGAATTGATATTTAAGACAAGTGTTTGTTGAAAGTTGCATGCAAACAACCCACAAAACAATCAAGGTTTGTTTTTGTCTATGATAAACAATCTTGAATCCAGGACATGTACATGCTATCACCACTATCCTTCTTGTGTCATGTTTTAAAACGTACAAAAGATAAAAAACAATATGATACATTAAAACAGAAACATATGGATTCTATCACTTCAACAGATGTAATATTATAATATTCTCCTGTCGAAACTCTTCAAGTTTCAAATCGTAAACGAAAGTTTGCCGAGCGTTTGGAATATTCAACATTTTACTGAGAATAGAGAAATATCCTATCGAATGAGATACAGTTATAACATATGTTTCCCTTATGAATTTTAAACGATATCTAAGCAGACTTTTGTTTTGTTTTCAATGATCTGCGAGAAAATCGTGTTCTTTTTATTTGACGTCATCAGACATAAGAAAAATATTTATAAACAGCACAAATTATGTTCATACAAACTTAAAATGAATAATATACCTATTTACAGGAAATAACACATGCCTTAACAGCAAAAATTAAAACAAGTGAATTTCTAATGTTTACGAAATTATTTATTCTGAAACTTCAAGTACTAGTATTACAAACGTAAACTGTTCAAATCAAAATGTAAGGAGCCTTAACTTGTATTTTGTCTAACCCAAAAAGAGTCTCCACCACCATGACCACAGAACCTAAGTATCGAGTGCTTATTGGCGCTTTCTTCATCCGACTAGTACCTGTTACAGACTAGGAAGTCTTAGGTGAAATGGAGAAAATTTCAAATGTAAATTAAAATTAAATTCCTAAGTCAGGAACCTTTTGTACAGTGGTTGTCGTTTGATGATGTGGTTCATAAGTGTTTCTCGTTTCTCGTTTTTTATATAGATTAGACCGTTGGTCTTCCTGTTTGAATGGTTTTACACTAGTCATTTTTGGGGCCCTTTATAGCTTGCTGTTCGGTGTGAGCCAAGTCTCCGTGTTGAAGGCCGTACTTTGACCTATAATGGTTTACTTTTACAAATTGTGACTTGGATGGAGAGTTGTCTCATTGGCATTCATACCACATCTTCTTATATCTATTAATATGTATATTCTGAAAATAGCATAGTCAAAGGAGAATATATGAAACATTCACGTTCCAAGTTCATTGAACTCGAAAATCAAAAAATATAACGTATCTATCAAATTCAAAACATATCTTTCAAAAGTTCACAAGTTTATTCTTTCAGATATCAGTATATTTTTTGTTTAATATGCCTTGTATAATTAAGGCCATACAGATCTTGATTTCGATGCATACTGTCAAACCTGCCTCATTTTTTTTTATCTTATTATTAATATTT